AACTCACGTGTAATAAATGACTCATTTATCCTTTTTCTCAACTGAGGTCCCTTTCCTTCATTTTCATCTGTAAATACAGAACAAAAATATTCATTGAGGCAGTCAGCTAGACCTTTATCCTCTTCTACATACCTTCCTTCTTTTGTTTTTAATCTAACTAATCCTTGTTTTGCTTTTCTTTTCTCATTTATGTATCTAAAAAATGTTTTATCCCCCTTTTTTACTGTCTGTGCTATTTTCTCTTCTGTGTGTGATTTGGAAGCTCTTATAACTTGCTTAGCCTCTTTCTGCCTAATCTTATAGATCATTTTGTCTCCCTCACTCTGGGTTTTTTTATAATTCCTAAATGCTAACTTTTTGTTTTTAACTATTTTGGCCACATCTGCGGAGTACCACAGTGGTTTCTTGAATTTTTTGCTTTTACTGACAAGCCTAATGCAATTTTCTGTTGCCTTCAATAGTGCAACTTTTAAATAATCCCATTTTTCTTGGACTCCATTTAAATTGCTCCAGTCTGATAATGACTCCTCTACCCATATTCTAATTTTAGAAAAGTCTGTTTTTCTAAAGTCTAAAACTTTTGTTTTTGTGTGGTGTGACTCAGTCACTGTTCTTATATTAAACCACACTGACTCATGATCACTGGATCCTAAACTTTCACCTACAGTAACATCTGATACTAAATCTCCATTTGTTAACACTAAATCTAGTATGGCCTCTTTACGAGTTGGCTCCTCAACAACTTGTTTTAGAGACAAACCCAGTAGGGAGTTTAGAATATGTGTGCTCCTGGCACAAGTAGCTAATTTTGTTTTCCAATTTACATCAGGAAGATTAAAGTCACCCATGATGATAACTTCCCCCTTCATTGTCATTTTAGCTATTTCCTCAACTAGTAGATTATCTAACTCTTCAATTTGTCCTGGGGGCCTATAAATCACACCTACACGAGTTACTGTGTGATTACCATGATGCGGGAAAGTGGGCCGATGGAGTCCAATAGCTTGTCCTGTACGCCATGGAACCCCTTCTCCACCCCTCTCCAGGGGTCGCGACCACGCCTAGACATAAAGGTGGTCATGACCTGGTCGAACTTCGGTGTCTGTGCCACATGGTCGGGTAGTGAAGGGCGAGGTGCATAAATTGAGCACGGATGTCGAATGTTTCATGGGTCGAAAAGACGTTGGCCCGAGGGGTCCAGGATGGTTTACCCCTCTTCCAGGGTTGGTACCAGATCGTCCGACAGTTGTATGTCATCCAGGAAGGTGCCCTGCAGGAAGCCAGTATGTGAACCGTCATCCGAGCCCCAGGCATCCTCTTGAGAATCGGAATCCACGGCCTGCCATGAGTCTAATATCGCCATGGAGGGTGAGTGTTCTCCCTCCTCGTCTGAGGAGTAGCGGTGTCGTGGGGTAGGGGCAGATGGGACCGGCTTGCGTCGTTTTGGCTGGGGCCTTGCCCTTGTCAGGGTTGTCGTTCCTCTTTTCGCCCTTCCAGTGGCGTTTAGTAGACCGAGTGTCAGCTTGTGTGTGTGATTCTGAAGCCTCGGAATCATAGTCCTTGTGTTATGTACTGCTCAGTTTTTGTGCTGCTCGGCAGACGCCGTCATAACCCTGGAGAGTGCCTTCTCCATTGATGCGGCAATAGCCTCACTAATCATAGTTTGGAAATCTGCGGGGTTCTGGGATGTATCCATAGTTTGATATAATGACCACAATATAGTAAACTTGGCACAGGGCTCAGGTTGGGCTAGGGGTCAGCCAGTATAACCCCAGCAGGATGTATAATAAATTAGTGCAACGGTACCAGCGGTACTAAATACCCCAGCAGGGTGTTAATGAATATTTTATATATATGCACGTGGTACCAGCAGTACCTGCTACCCCAGCAGGGTATTATTGGGATTTTTGTCACTGGGCCTCACCCAGGTATATAGAGGATGTATCACTCACACCTCAGAAGCAGCAATAAAATTAGGGGCCTCACCCTAAATGCACAGGGCATTAAGCCCTATAGTGCCTTTAAATACAGACTGTAGGCTTACTGACCTGGTGACCCCTGCATTAATCCCTTTTTTATGAAGGAGATGCCTGGTAAGGTGCAGGATCCGAGCGCCGTCTGTACGGAGCTCGAGGAATACCTAAAATGGCGAGACGCGAGATCCAAAATGGCCACCAAAGGCGCCGGGAGAAAATACCCGTGAATGCTGGCTAAACTGCGTGCGAGTGTGAAGCTGTGAGGTAGGGGGTGAGCGTTACCCCTGGGAAGTAGAGAAAAGAGTGATCCGTCGGTGGGGACCGGGGGATCCGTCGGGAGAAATCCGCCGCAATGAGAGCACAGAAAACTTGCAGGGACATGAATCTCTGTGAGGCAGAGACCAATCACAAAACTAGCACTAATAAACCCCTCCAACAGTATAGAATACATGAAAGTACACAGTAATA